CTTCTCCAGCGAGAATCGCCAATGTAAAATACTTAAATTTCTATAAAGTGCTGTAATTTTTTTTTTTATATATATATATATATAACCAGTCAGACCTAAAGATATCTTTCGACAGGATATGAGAAACTTGCGGCTTGCTTATAAACAGGAAGAACAGAGACTGGAGATTTTTCAGAACCTGATTACCCGAGCATTTCCTCTTTCTCACGGGCTGGTAAGCCTAAACAAAAAATTCTTACTCCTAGCAAAACACATAAGGAAGAATAAAAGAATGTAAATACCGTGTTTCCCCGAAAATAAGACCCTGTCTTATATATATTTTTTGCCACCAAAAAAGGCACCAAGTCTTATTTTCGGGGGGGGGGGATGTCAACCACTGACTAACCTCACTTCCTTTTCGCTGTCAGAGGCCTACAGGAACTTCTTCTTCTGTGGCCAGCAAGGCTTTCCTAAAGGCCTCTGCAGCCAATAAACAGAGCTTTGGATCGATCTAGAGCTTTGTTATCAGGTCCAGAGGCCTTCAGGAAAGCTTTGCCAGGCTTGTTGGCTGCAGCCAGGCAGGCATCGGGGTGTGCAAGGCCTGGCTACAACTGTCCAAAGGTAAGTAGTAGGGCAGGAAGGAAGGAAAGAAGGAAGGAAGGAAGAGTAATAGCACCTAGATTTATATACTGCTTTCCAGCCCTCTCTAAGTGGTTTACAGAGTCAGCCTCTTGTTCCCCAATAATCTGGCTCCTTGTTTTAACCACCTCGGAAGGATGGAAGGCTGAGTCAACCTTGAGCTGGTTTTTTTTCAGCGCCATTATAACTTCGAATAGTCACTAAATGAAAAGTTGCAAGTCGAGGACTGCTGTAATATTAAAAATGAGTTTGGGTGGTTGTGTTTGCTGGCACGTAGGTTCATTCTTGCTTCTCAGAATTAAATCTGTCTACGAAAATCAAGAAGCGAAGTTCAGTGACACTAACCTTGGCTTTCATTTCATCCAGCCATTCTTTGCGTTCACTTACAAAGAGAAATTTCCTACTAACGGTTGGAAGGTTTATGATCCGGTGGCAGAGTATAAAAGACAGGTAAGCCTGGTTGATTTTCATGTTTTGTATACCATCAGTGTATAGGAAAATAATCATTAAAAAATGTATATATTTGAATACGAATTATCTGCCAAGATACTCAAGATTGTTTACAGTATACAGTAGAGCTAAATGGATATAACACATTAACAAGATACCTGAAGAATAGGGAAAATACCAGGTGTCTACCTGTTTTAATATACACACCAGGAATTTTAAACTTTAAGCTGCCTGCTTGCTGTGTTCCCAAACATTGCATTTGTGTAATTTTAATCCAGGGGGAAAAATATCACTCTACCGAACTATTTATCCCAATTAGATTACATTTGCTTCTGGCAGTTGGTCTGTCATTATCAAAGTTTGATGTATATAAAAATGTTTTGTTTTTCCAGGGTTTACCCAACGAGAGCTGGAAAATATCCAAAATTAACAGCATGTATGAATTTTGTGACACATATCCTGCCGTTCTTGTTGTGCCAACCAGCGTCAAAGATGAAGATCTCTCCCGGGTGGCTGCTTTTAGAGCGAAAGGCAGAGTTCCAGTAAGTAAGATGGAGATTAAAAATGGAAGTGTTGATGTCAAACTTCTTCACACCCTCATACCATAAACTGACGTGTTTTCATGAATGCTTAAATTATAAACCAGACCATTCCTCGAGGATATAGGCTGAATCTATATTAAGGAAAGCTGGATTGAAAGAGGATGTGCTGAGTTTTAAAAATGGAGGAAGAATAGCACTTAGCAGACTTACATACCGCTTCGCGGTACTTTATAGCCCTCACTATGCGGTTTACAGAATCAACCTATTGCCCCCAATAATCTGGGTCCTCATTTTACCAACTTCAGAAGGACGGAAGGCTGAGTCAACTTTGAGCTGGTCAGGATCGAACTCCTGGCAGAGGGCAGAGTTAGCCTGCAACAGCAATAGCACTTAGACTTATATACCGCTTCACAGTGCTTTACAGCCCTCTCTAAGCAGTTTACAGAGTCAGCCTCTTGCCCCCAACAATCTGGGTCCTCATTTTATGGTACCAACCTCGGAAGGATGGAAGGCTGAGTCAACCTTGAGCCGGTCAGGGATCGAACTCCTGACAGTGGGCAGAATTAGCCTGCAATACTGCATTCTAAACACTGCACCACCACAGCTCCATCTCTTCCCACTTATGGCTGTATGAATGTAACATTGTTGCTTGTATCCTTACAATTTTTATTATTATTCTTTTATTGACTGTTTACTGGTATGATTTGATAGGCCCTAGCTTATTATTATGTGTCCTAGTATGATTTATATGTTTTATATGTTTCCTAGTATGATTTATAGTATACTATGACTACTACCTATGATTCTTGACATATGTATCTTGAGACCATATGGACCAAAACAAATTCCTTGTGTGTCCAATCACACTTATGTCCAATGAAGAATTCTATTCTATTCTATTCTATTCTATTCTGTTCTGTTCTGTTCTGTTCTATTCTATTGATAACCTGTGCTGTGTCGATAAAATTAGTCTGATAGCTGACAATACAAGGATCTTCAGGCTCAAGTACTAAAATTCAAGTAGCTCAGTGAAAGAATAGGAGCAGATGTAATAGGTGTTCCAGATGCTTTAAGTGGGCAGAGTTGTATAAAAATAGTTGTCTGTCGGGGTTTTGTTGTTATTCTTGGAATACTGCATCCAGTTTTGGTCACCCCAATAGAGAAAAGATGTTGAAAGTCTAGAAAGAGGGCAGAGAGGATTAAGAAAGATTATTAGGGACTGGAGGCTAAAACACACAAAGAATGGTTGCGGAAATTGGGTATGTCTACTTTAATGAAATGAAGGACATGATAGCAGTCTTCCAATCTTTGAGGGGCTGTCCCAAAGAAGAGGGAGTCAAGCTATTCCCCAAAGCACCTGAGGGCAGGACAAGAAGCAATGAAGGGAAACTAATCAAGGAGAGAAGCAACCTAGAACTAAGGAGGAATTTCCTGACAGTTAGAAGAATTAACCAGTGGAACTCCTTGCCTCCAGAAGTTGTGAATGCTCCAACCCTGGAAGTTTTTAAGAAGAGATTGGACAGCCATTTGTCTGAAGTGGTGTAGGGTTTCCTGCCTAAGCAGAGGGTTGGACTAGAAGACCCTCAAGGTCCCTTCCAACTCTTTCATTCTGTTCTTGCTATTTTGTGCTGTATCTGATTGCTTCCCATTGGTTAATTGCATCTTCTTTATGCATCCCATTTAACGTGGTGAATTTCAGCAAGGGCTTTATTTGTAAGTTAGTTTCTTTCTCTCCTCTCCCCCCCCCCCCCCCCCCCCCCCCCACCTCCCCCCCCTCTCTTAACCTAGGTGTTATCCTGGATTCACCCCGAGAGCCAGGCCACCCTCACTCGATGCGGCCAGCCTCTCATCGGGCCAAACGACAAACAGTGCAAAGAGGACGAGAAGTTCCTACAGACCATCATGGACGCCAACGCTCAGTCTCACAAGCTTTTCATTTTCGATGCAAGGCAAATAAGCGTTGCCGACACCAACAGGGTAGGAGAGACACACAGGAGGAGGAGAGGGAGGATTAAAGGGGCTTCGGCAAAGCCCCCCAAAAGGCGATTTGGTTTCAGTTGAAATGTCAAGTTGTCAAGTGTTCATTATTATTTTTATCCCACCTTTATTGTTTTTATAAATAACTCGAGGCAGTCAACGTAACACTCCTTCCTCCTCCTGTTTGCCCCACATCAACAACCTTGTGAGGTGGGTTGGACAGAAAGAGGGAGGGAGGGAGGTAGAGACAGACAGACAGACAAATATTGAAAGAGAGAGAGAGCGCACTGGCTTAAGTCACCTAGCTCCACTTTCATGCAAAAAGTGGGACTAGAACTCATCATCTCCTGGTGATTGGGCCAAAGTTACCCAGCTGGTTTTCATGCCTAAGACAGGACTAGAACTCCCAGTCTCCTGGTGATTGGCCCATAGTCACCCAGCCAGATTTCATGCCTAAGATGGATCTAGAACTCCCAGTCTCTTGGTGATTGGCTCCTCAGTTGCCCAGCCAGATTTCATGCCTAAGGCAGGACTAGAACTCCCAGTCTCCTGGTGATTGGCCTGTAGTCACTCAGCCAGATTTTATGCCTAAAGTGGGACTAGAACTCCCAGGTCTCCTAGTGGTTGGCCCACAGTCACCCAGCCGGCTTTCATGCCCAAGGCAGGACTAGAATTCACCGCCTCCCGGTTTCTAGCCTGGTGCCTGAACCAATAGACCAAACCGCTTCCCCACACAATGCGTAGGGGTGATGGAAACCCATTGTAATTTCAGGCCAAAGGCGGTGGGTACGAAAGCGAAAGTGGCTATCCCAACATGGAATTGATCTTTCTGGAAATCCCGAATATACACGTGATGAGGGAATCGCTGCGTAAACTGAAAGAAATCGTGTACCCCACCATCGATGAGTCCCGGTGGCTGTCCAACGTGGAGAGTACGCACTGGCTGGAGTACATACGGGTAACGTGGGATCATATTGTGCTTATATCATGCTTCTCTTTAGGCTGCCTTCTCTCTCCCACCGGGAAAGGTTTCATATCGAAGTAGTTATTTTAGAGCAGAGGGATCCCCACCTTGGCCACTTTTCATATCTGCGGACTTCCAACTCCCAGAACTCACCATGCAGCCATTCTGACTGGGGAATTCTGGGAGTTGTAAGTCCACAAGTCTTAAACGTCCCCAAGGTTGGAGACTCCTGCCCTAGCTGAAGGACTACCTGTCATGCGAAGCCACCCCAAAGTTTCCTTGTTTGAACTAAGGCAGTGGGTTTTCAAGGGAGGAGAGTCTGTCTGTGGATTAGACAATCATTTGTCTGAAGTGGTGTAGAGTTTCCTGCCTAAGCAGGGGGTTGAAGACCTCCAAGGTCCCTTTCCAACTCTGTTACTTTATCTATCTCAACTTGGATTTTTCTTCTTCTCTTTTCTTTCTTTCCAAATTACACATCTCTATTTACATTGTTAACGGTATTGTGTCATAGATATTACATATACTTACATTTGTTTCTGTACATTAATCCTTACTCCTATGTTCTATCCACTTATACCATTTATCCCATACTGCATAGCATTCTGATTCCTCCTTGCCTTTTAGTTAACAGATAATCAGAGTTGGAAGGGACCTTGTAGGTCATCTAGTCCAAACCCCCCACCCAAGTAGGAGACCCTACACCATTTCTGACAGATGGGAGCTCAATCTCTTCTTGAAAGCCTCCAGGGATGAAGCTCCCACAACTTCTGAAGGCAGCTTCTGTTCTATGGGTTGATGGCTGTCACTGTCAGAAAGTTTCTCCTTATTTCCAGGTTGAATCTCTCCTTGATCAGTTTCCATCCATTATTCCTTGCCTGGCCTTCATTTGAAAATAGCTTGACCCCTTCCTCCTCTCTGTGGCAGCCCCTCAAATATTGGAAGACTGCTATCATGTCTCCCCTGGTCCTTCTCTTTACTAGACTAGCCAGGCCCAGTTCCTGTAATTGTTCTTCATATGTTTTAGTCTCCAGTATCCTAATCATCCTGGTTGCTCTTCTCTGTACTCCTTCTAGAGTCTCAACATTTATTCAATGTTCTGTTATCTCCTGTAGCCATCTTTGTACCTTCGCCCAATATTTCCTGGCTTTGGGGCATTGCCACCACATATGAAAGAACGTTCCATCTTTCTGCTTGAATTCCAGCACTCTGATTTCCTATTTGGGTACATTTTTGCCAATCTCACTGGCGCTAAATGCCATCGATAGAACGTTTTATACTGGTTCTCTTTATGAGCTGTTGACAATGTTAACTTGTAGTTTTTGGTCTATAATTTTTCACAATCATCTAGTTCTATACTATGACCCTATATTAATTGCTCAAGCCATCATTGGCCCTTTTAACTATTTCTTCCTCTTCTTGTTTTTTGTCTAAAAGATGCTTCTGTCTGGAGCTGTGAGAATTGCTGACAAAATTGAATCGGGAAAAACCTCGGTGGTCGTACATTGCAGCGACGGTTGGGACCGTACCACTCAGTTGACTTCCTTGGCGATGCTCATGCTGGACAGCTACTACCGGACCATCAAAGGCTTCGAGGTCCTCTTGGAGAAGGAATGGATGAGTTTCGGCCATCGCTTTGCCATGGTGAGTATCGCGCAAGATGGATGCCAGGATTCCGGCGATCACCCTAATTAAATCAAAAGCCTCAATCCAAGCTTCAAAAAACTTCAGAAGATTTATTAGGAGCGACATGCCGGCATGATCTGCATGAAGCCAACTGTCAGGATTCCGGCAGTTACTCCAATTAAATCCTGAGCCTCAAGCCACACTCCCAAAACTTCTCTGAATTGCCCACCCCTGTTCTACCCCCATGAAGGTTGGCTGCGTCCATCGTTTGCAGGCTAGGTTCCTACATGACAGCAACTTAACATATTGTTTTGGCAGCATTCAGATGGGTGGACTTCAACTCCCAGAATTCCCCAGCTTCCTAAGTTCCTTTTTATTTTTGTTTCCCTCCCCTACAGCGAGTCGGACATGGAGACGATGATCACGCAGATGCTGATCGATCCCCTGTCTTCCTACAGTTCATAGATTGTGTCTGGCAAATGACAAAGCAGGTGAGAACTTAACATATCGACTCATTTATTTATTTTACACATATATGCGTGAAATATACCACTCATGCATCATCATAAAATCTCCGGAACCGTAAAGCCTACAAACTTTAAATTTGGCACATATGTTCCTCATGGCTTCTAGGGGCTCATTAAGAAAGGGTTTTTCAAAATGACCATCAGAGCATTAGTATTTCCTATATTATTATTATTAACACATTCTGATGCTAAGGAGTTCTACTCCTCCTCCCCACCTGAAAAGAAATCTCTTCCAAATGCAAAACACAAGAAGAGGAGAGGTGTTTCAGTTTCACAGCACCAAGCAGCTTTAGTACAGAACAGTTGAACTAAGCCATGCCCAGGCTTCTTGCTGTCTCGTTCTTGCTCACACAGCAAATACTCTTTTCAGTTTCCAAACAGCCCTCAACGCTCTCACACACTGACAGGATGCTAGCCAGATGAATACCGATGGATGTTGGTAGGCAGAGGCAGAATTTTTCCCCCTTATTTTCTTCCCCAAAAACTGAGCCCGACCACATAGTTTCGTAGTGAAGCATGGGTATCAAGCTAGTTTCACATATTTATGTTCAGAAAGACTCTTGGAAGCCAACCTTGAAAAGGTTTGAGTTAAACTGTTTTTCAAGCAGAAAAATCTAGAGTGATTTCGTTGTCTTCTCTTGCTTAGGATGAGCTCACACGAGCAATTAAAAAAACCCTTTCCAGGAATATTTAGGCCAAGCATTTACACAAAGCAGCAAGCATTTGAATTCTTGTCTTTTGAAATATCATAAATAGACCTTCATATCTTGCTTAGATGAATTGGCCAACCTAGACATCTGCAAGAGCTGGGATCTGGCAGCTCCACCACTGTGCATCCCTTCCCACATCATTGGGAATGAAAGCTTCCATCCCTGGAGGCTTTTAAAAAGAGACTGGACAGAAATAGAATAGGTCTCCTGTGTGAGCAGGGGGTTGCCCTAGATGATCTCCAAGGTCCCTTCCAACTCTTGTTACTGTTACCTGAACCACGCTAGCCAAGTTGAGCATGTTGTAACACACCTTCCCCCCCGGCGTGTTTTTAAGTCCACGAAAAATCTCTTTGCTTCAATGAGAAGTGGATTGCCTTTTACTAAGTGTGTTTCCATTTTAGTTCCCAGCCGCCTTCGAATTCAACGAGTTGTTTTTGATCAACATTTTGGATCACCTATACAGCTGTTTGTTTGGCACCTTTTTGTACAACTCGGACCATCAGCGAGTAAAAGAGGTAAATAGTCCATGTGCAACATGATGATTGGATAAAACGGCGAGAAAGATATTCAGGGGTCATTTTTCCCGTAGAGCAGGAATATCTAAGCTTGGCCACTTGAAGGCCTGTGGACTTCAGCTCCCAGAATTCTGGGAGTTGAAGTCCACAGGCCTTCAAGTGGCCAGACATGAACATTCTTCATGTACAGCATGAAAAGATTTAAATATTCGTCTGTCACAGCACCAAACTCCACAAAGTCTTTGATGTGAACACCATTTCTGCCTTTAAGAAGAATTAACATTTCTAGCTGAAACGACCAGCTTAAGGGCATAATGTGACACTGAAGTGTTTGGAGTTTGATCTTCCTCCCCGGTGGGTTAGATATCTACATTTTGGGTCTAGTAAATCCTCAATTTTCAGGACTAGAAATTGCAAAACCAGGTAGAAATAGAGGGCTACCTCTGCATTCTGAGTCCCCATTGACTTCCAAGCCATCCAAAAGCTCCAGCTAGGTAGGATTTCTCTCACTTTTTTGAGAAGAGGTGGTGTCCTTTCCAACTGCTTTCGTATTCGAAGGAACGCAGCCAAATTGCATTACAGATCCTTACTAGCCTGCCTATCAGCCTCTCATGAATGGATCATCTAATAATGCAGCTCCCTCTTTCAGGGTGGAGGGGAGAGGGAAGAAGGAAGGAAGGAAAAAAAGAAAAGAAAATGCCATTTAAGAGATGACTGTAGTGGAAATAAGATGCTTTATAGCACCGGAGGAATAGAGAATTGCGAGAGAAATCCAATAACGGATTCCAAATCTGAAACCTTGATTTAATAATGGCTGTATAAGGGAAGACTGGACTCGACTTTGAATTTTAATGACCCTGTTAAACGTAGCCATTTAATTACAACGCACCATATTTTGGTAGGTTTAAGGATTACACCTGTTTTGTTTTGTTGTTGTTTTTTCCCTACAGTACCACTTCATTGATTCTATGCTCTAGAATTCGCTGACATTCAGACAATTTCATTGTTTCAGGGTTTATCTTTATTTCCCTGTCCTCAAAACAGGCACCGTTCACTGTGGCAAGGGCATCGTGGCTACCCAGCTCGTTACACACACGCGCCTAAATTTTAATCAATCCATTAATTGCCTGATAAACGTTTTTAAAAAAATGGCTCAGTATTCTAAAATAACCCTGGCCCGTTTTGTACTGGCCTCAGAACTGCCAGTAATGGCTGAGAATTTGCCCGTGATGGGGAACCTGTGGCACAGGTGGCACACAGCCATTTGTACGGGCACGCGAGCCCCAGCCAAACTTACCTGCACTGCGCATCCGCTTGGCTCCCAGCTGATTTTCGGCCCATTTGAGGCAGTTTTCGCCCTCCTGGAGGTTTGAGGGAGGCCTCCGCAACCTCGGCAGGCCGAAAAACGGCCCTTCCGGAAATACCAGAAGTGCCGAAACGGGCCCGTTTTTTGGCCTCCCGAGGCTCCCACGGCTTCCCTCAAGCCTCCAGGAGGGTGAAAATGGCATCCCCCGAGCTCCAGAGGCTGAAAACGGGCACTTCTGGTATTTCCTCGAGCCTCAAACGGGTGTGCAGGTAAGGGGGCGGGTGTGTTGCGCACGCATGTGCAGGGGGGCCCGCATTGCATTGTGGACGCCAGCGCACTCATGCGCTTTTGACATACCACAACAAAAAGGTTTGCCATCACTGTTCTATGCGGTCCGTCCTTAACTTAAGACCAGAATTGAGCCCGAAATTTCTATGGCCAAGCGAGACAATTGTGACGTGAGTTTTGCCCCATTTTACATGCTTTCTGGCCACAGTTGTTAAGCGAATCATGGCAGTTGTTCAGTTAGTAACACGGTTGTTAAGTGAATCCGGCTTCCCCATTGACTTCGCTTGTCACCAAAAGGCATTACATGACCCCGGGACACTGCAGCGGTCATAAACACATGCTAGTTGCCAAGCATTTTAAATCCCGTGGCCCTGGGGATGCTGCAATGGTCATATGTGTGAGAAATGGTCATAAATCCCCATTTTCAATGCCGTTGTAACTTTGAACAGTCACTAAATAAATGTTTGTAAGTCAAGGACTACCTGTACATAAGAATCTGGCCAATTAATTATCAGTAGTAAATTGGCTCTGGATACAGGCCGACAGAATTCAAGAGGAAGGTGACGCTGCACTTGAGTTCCTTGTGGCAACACCAGGATTCTGAACTAATGACGCACTTAACTCTGCCCTCTGTCTGTTCTTCTCCTACAAGCTGGATCGTGGGAAGAGGAAATCAGGGGAGATTTAGGAAAGTAAGATTTAGGACAGCCACTCCCTAGAATCTCTCAGGATATTTCTGTTAAAGAGTATAGGTTTAGTCTGGCAAGATTCTGTTCTGACCCAAACCTTGTTTCAAGGAAACAAACAAAAAACACAGGTAACAGCAAAACCTTTTAATGATTCTTTACAAATTCTGTTCCTTCCCGGTTAAAAGGCTGTTTCAAACTCATTGTCTCTGATAAGAACGAGCTTTGCCAAGGTTGGGCAAGGCTGCCAAGAACACTAGATAAAGTGACTAAGAAATATTTCAAACACAAAGAGTCTCCAAACACAAGCCAAGATAGTCCGAACGTCCACAAGGCTTGAGTGCAAAAACTTCTTTGCTTCCTGCAAAGAACTCCGGTTTCTCAACTGGCTTTTATCTCTTAAGGGAGGGGCCATTACCTTGCAGTCTTACTCCTCAGTCGCCCATGCTGCTGCAGCTGCTCTTTCCTACGAGCAATCCTGCGTGCACACGCACTGGGCACAGGCTCCTCGGGGGCCTCTTCCTCACTGCTGCCAGCCTCCCCAATCTCCGAAGGCAGCATTCCACTCCCTGATAGTCCTGGCCCCATCCCTGCATCACACACAGGCCCCCTCATCTGAGTCCTCGCTCTCTGAAATCTGAGCCGTCCACACCTGCTGCCAGCGAACCAGAACAGATTCTGTCTGTATAAAGTATTTGCAAATAATGAACTAAACTTCAGCTGGATTGTTTTACGGTGTTTTGGGGCTTAGACCTGACAACCTGTCTGGTGTTTGCTCCTCTTCCAGGAGAAGGCAGCTCACCAAACCCATCTGAGCGATAATGCAGCATCGTTTTTCTTTTAGTATACCCTTTTCATAACTTTTGTTTGTTTTCCTCAGGAGATAAACACCAAAACTGTCTCTCTCTGGTCCTACATCAATAGCCAGGCGGAAGAATTCAGTAACCCTTTCTACGTCAACTACAAGAACCACGTTCTCTATCCAGTAGCCAGTTTAAATCATTTGGAATTGTGGGTCAACTACTACGTACGTTGGAACCCCCGAATGAGGCCCCAGGTAAGGTCTGCCTGCAACTTGTTTTGCAAATTGCAAAAAGCAAACGACAGAAGCGTCTGCTCCTGAAGTAGGAATCTTAAGAGCTTTGACTACAATCATACAAATAATCCAAGGGGTGACTAACAGGAGATTAGATCTGCTGGACTTTCTTTCTCTCCCTTTCATCCCGGCAGCAGCTCAGGACATAATCACTGTGATGCAGTTACTAAAAAGTGCAGATCGAAGTCACAACTCTTAGTTAAAAGTTAGGATCCACTGCACATTCTTAAAATGGAGGGAAGTAAGCAGTGGGGGGCCACAAGGTTCCGTCTTGGGCCCCGTACTCTTCAATATCTTCCTAAAACGACTTATAAGCCGACTGTCAGCTAATGAATATTGGAATTTTGGCCAAAGCAAAAAAAAGCAACGTATCGGGCCCCAGCTACAGATCATTTTGAAGAAACCACAATTTGGGAAGATAGAATTCTTTATTGGCCAAGTGTGATTGGACACACAAGGAATTTGTCTTGGTGCAAATGGTCTCAGTATACATAAAAGAAAAGATACATTCGTCAAGAGTCAAGAATCATCAGGTACAACAATTATAGTCATAGGGTACAATAGAATAGAATAGAAGAATATAGGAATAGAATCTAAACAGAATGGGATGGGATGGGATGGAACAGGATAGAGAATAGAACAGAATAGAAATTAGAAGAGAAGAGAATTCTTTATTGGCCAAGTGTGATTGGACACACAAGGAATTTGGCTTAATGCAAATGTTCTCAGTGTGCATAAAAGAAAAGAAACATTCGTCAAGAGTCGAGAATCATCAGGTACGACACTTAATAATAGTCATAGGGTACAATAAGCAATCAAATCATACTAGGAAACAGTATAAACTAAGGATACAAGCAACAAAGTTAGTCATGCAGTCATAAGTGGGAGGAGATGGGTGACGAGTGACAAGAAGATTAATAGTAATAGTAATGCAGACTTTGTAAATAGTTTGACAGTGTTGAGGGGATTATTTGTTTAGCATAGTGATGGCTTTCGGGGGGAAAACTGTCCTTGTGTCTAGTTGTGTGTGCAGTGCTCTGTAGTTTTGAGGGTAGGAGTTGAAACAGTTTGTGTCCAGGATGTGAGGGGTCTGAATATTTTCACAGCCCTCTTTTTGCATGTTTTGAAGGAAATGTTTTATTGAGATGGCTGGGAACGCAGCCTTGTGTGGAAAAAGCTTTTGGTAGGGAAGAACCAAACATCAATGTAGTTTTACATTTTAAGTAACAATAGATAAATCAGCAAATTGTTCTAAGCTTCCACCCCTTAGATATAAAAGCTTGCTGCTGAAGTATAAATACATACTGTAGTCCACATTTCATAATCAATTATTCATGCAGATATTAAAGCCATCTGTGATCGTTCCCGAAATAAACATGGATAGATCTCAGATGGAGCCTTGGCCAACCAAGTTGAGGTGATCTGCTGATTCCTTCCAAAGCAAACCAGGAAGGAAGGAGATCTTGCCACAAATAGATCTGAGGTGTTTGCACCTGGGGGTGTCCCATATTTTCAAACATTCGTCATAGGAAATGAGGCTCCGTGTCAGTTTTCTCCTTGAAGACTTTGAGGTTAAACTGAGAAGATGCTTCTTTGATCGGTATCTTTTTTATAGAATAGAATTAGAATAGAACAGAACAGAACAGAACAGAACAGAACAGAATAGTATTTAGAATAGAATAGAATAGAATAGAATAGAATAGAATAGAATAGAATAGAATAGAATAGAATAGAATAGAATAGAATAGAATAATCTTTATTGGCCAAGCGTGATTGGACACACAAGGAATTTGTCTTGGTGCAAATGCTCTCATAATAGAATAGAATAGAATAGAATAGAATAGAATAGAATAGAATAGAA